ATGAAGAGGTTAAGTGACTAGCCTCAGTTGATACACAGAGATGGAGGGAAGGGACACACCCTCCTTCACACAGCATACAGAAACTGCCAATCACTGGCTGCCAATCACAGGCTGAGCTCCCTCCCCGTCACCTTTTTCTCTTGGTGTCAGGAAATCTTTTCCGAAGAGATTCATACTGATAACAGAGGAAGGAAGCTGCAGATAGAAATGACACCCACTGCTCTGGATTGAGACATTTACACACTATAATGGGAATATGCTATATTCATATTTCATGTCTGAGGTTTACAACCACTTAAAGAACAATATTGGTCTGCTGCTATTGTGACCCCCCCACATACACAATAAGACGGGTGATGTACCAAAGAAGTACATTTTTTTGCTTAGCCAAGTTAAAGTGTTACTAAATCCACAACAGTAAAATAAGTCTGTATATGCAGTAAAGCACGTTTGTTATAATCACTGTAGAACCTAAGGGGTTAATCCTCTGTATTGTGTAAAAAGGATGTTTAATCCTGACTTCTGTGATCCTACCCTTCCTCCAGTGCCCCACTCTTATCTCCTGATAAGACATATGGTGTGGAGTCGCTTTGCACATGCTCAGTTTGGTGTGTATTGCTAGAGAGGTTTTTTTTTTCTTGGGAGAGTGCATGTGATCAGCACTGTCAAGACAGTGGTCAGGGGTCATGCAGCCTCATTGGACAGTCAGAGCAGAATGAAAACTCCTGCAAGCTTTAACATGTGCTCTGCTGGACACTGATATAAGTCACAAGACTGCTCTAACTACTGATGAGAAAAGGTATTTAGCAGTTTATATTTACTAAAATAATTGCATTTCCTTGTTCTGTGTACTGTGGGAGACCGGATATACTGGATGCAGGGTCCTGGGTTTAGTAACACTAAGTTCTGTCTGCTTCGAACAGCTAATAACTTGCCGAGAAATTAAAAAAAGAAAAACAGTAATTTTTTTTGCACGACTGGATGATTGAAATGGTGCTGCTTCAATAAGCTAAAGTAAAAGCTACATTCACCTGTATGTGTGAACTGAAGCAAAGCACACAAATCTAAACACCGTGCTGGTGATAACTTTGCAGAAAATAGGTAAACAGACTTCTGAAGCTTGAAGCAGAACTACACTCCCAGAAATGCATACTTGTTTTGTAGAGCAATGGAAGTAAAACAGGATTGCATTTTTAACTTTTTAAATAAATACAGTCTTCCCCTCACTTTGTTCATGTTTTCTTTGCTGCACACGTCCTGTTGACTCTTTGCATGGACTTCCCATGAATGCATGCAGGGCCGTGGATAAGGGGGTACCACCAGTCCTCCTGTATGGGGCCCAGGCCAGCAGGGGGGCCCAGGCAGTTGGGTGGATTGGATGTGGGCAGGAGGGTTATCGGCACGGCGGGAGGGGGGCAATTACTGGAACCAAGCCCCTGTATGTCTCTATCTCCCTCCTGCTGGCTTTTAGCTGCTGCAGAGAAAGCTATCAGTTAAAGTAATTTCCCCCAGCCACACCCTCCCTATGCACCATACACTTTCCCCTGCAGCCCAGGCCCCCTGTGCCCCCCCCCCAAAAGTGCTGCTGGATTCCCTCGTCTGCTTTCCATCTGCAGCTGCAAGCACACAATAGGATCCTTCAGGGTGGAGAAAGGGTTTACCAGCCCCATCCTGAACATAATGAGTGATCAGTTCCAATCACTCATTGTGTTCATTCATAACTAAAGCATTGTAAACTTTTGTTTTTGAGGGGGGGGGGGGGGGTCTCAGTTCTGGCTGTATGGGGCCCCTGTTGCTCCTATCAGCAGACCTGAATGCTTGCATGGCCCTTCAATGGCCGAACATCCAAATTTGACTGTGGTGACTATGGCAGAATGTGCCGACACACTGTGCATTAAATCAGCCTGTTTTTAATCCAACTCTGGAGTGCATAGGAAAAGGTGACAACGCTGAGACTGAACTAAGTAAGTATTGTCACCCTTAGAAAGAAAGTACCTGTGGATATGCCTTGCTGGTATGATTTGTTTGAAAGCAGGGCTGATTTATAAAAGGATTACCTGTTTCATATTAGTGGAGCATTTGCAACAAAATATTTGGTTGAACAGTTTGGGTTGGGATACATTTTAAAAGAAGACCTAACCTGCGTACTTTCAGTGAACAAAAAGTTTGCTGTAGCTGCTATAGGCTCGGCTCACACTACTGTGACACCATTTTGACTCTATTTGCAGTGCGATTATGTAGCACAACATTGGTTGAGGCCAGATCGCACTGTAATTCACACCAAACCAAGCACAGGACCCTTCCCAAAGTTGCATCGCAGATACGCTGCATTGATGTGGATGGCCACTATTAGAATGTTATTTCCATTGTCATGCAATTCAGTGCTACCCAAGTCACATCTAAAATTGCATTAGTGTGATCCAGACCCCAAAGTATTTTTAATGTTTTCATAATTTTACATGCTTGCTCTTCGATGTTATCAATATTGTGTTCAAGCTGAACTCCAGAAATTATATTTTTTGCATACTTACATTGGGCCAGCTTGGGTCGATGTAAGTATGCATATCTAATATCTAGGGCTACTGGGAATGCTGTAAAAAAATGTAAAAAGTATGATTATCCAATACCTGAAGGGTCACTAGGGATGCTATAAATCAGGGGTCCTCAAACTACTGCCCGCGGGCCACATACGGCCCGCCAAGGACATTTATCCGGCCCGCCGGCAGGGGCGTATTTGCCACGAGCAAGGGACACTAAGTACAGGGGCGGGCAAGGGGCTACTGTACCTTACCTGACTGCAGTCCCAGTCCCACGATGATCCAGTCCAGGAAGCGCTGCTCCTTCATTCACTCCGGCCACTCCCTCACTCGATGTTCGCGCTGCCGCTCAGCTCCGCCTCCTCACCGGTGATTGGGCACCAGAACTGTAGCTCAGGAAAGGCACACAGGCGGCCAATCACCTACGAGGAGGCGGAGCCGAGCGGCCACGCGAACATTGAGTGAGGGAGAGGCCGGAGTGAAGAAGGACAGCTGACAGGTAAGTGTGCCGTGCAGATGGTGCTGCTGCAACCAGGTATGCTGGCTGCAGCAGCACCATGATGGAGCAGGGGTCAGCAAGTTAAGTGTCAATGGTGTCAGTGGGAGGAATAGTGCCCCATCATTGGTGTCAGTGATACTAATGATGGGGCATTATTCCTCCCACTGACACCAATGATGGGGCACTATTCCTCCCACTGACACCAATGATGGGGCACTATTCCTCCCCCATTGACACCAACAATGGGGTACTATTCCTCCTCCCATTGACACAAACGATGGGGCACTATTCCCCCCCCCCCTGACACCAATGATGGGGCACTATTCCACCCCCCACTTACACCAACGATGGAACACTATTCCTTCCCCCACTGACACCAATGATGGGGTACTATTCCTCCCACTGAAACCAATGTTGGGACACTATCCCCCCCCACTGACACCAATGACGGGGCACTATTCCCCCCCACTGACACCAATGACGTACTATTCCTCCCACTGACACCAAAGATGGGACACTATTCTTCCCACTGACACCAATGATGGGACACTATTCCTCCCACTGACACCAATGTTGGGACACTATCCCCTTCCCCCACTGACACCAATGACGGGGCACTATTCCCCCCCACACTGACACCAATGATGGGGCACTATTCCTCCCCCCACTGACACCAACAATGGGGCACTATTCCTCCCCCCACTGACACTAATGATGGGGCACGTTTCTTCCCACTGACACCAATGATGGGGCACCATTCCTCCCACTGACACCAATGATGGGGCACTATTTTACTCCATAAGACACACTTGGGGGGAAATGTCTGTGCGTCTTATGGAGTGGCGCCGTTATATATCCGCAGTCTCTGGTCATCCCCTGTACTGTGTCCGCAGTCTCTGGTCATCCCCTGTACTGTGTCCGCAGTCTCTGGTCATCTCCTGTACTGTGTCCGCAGTCTCTGGTCATCTCCTGTACTATGTCCGCAGTCTCTGGTCATCTCCTGTACTGTGTCCGCAGTCTCTGGTTATCTCCTGTACTGTGTCCGCAGTCTCTGGTTATCTCCTGTACTATGTCCGCAGTCTCTGGTCATCTCCTGTACTATGTCCGCAGTCTCTGGTCATCTCCTGTACTGTGTCCGCAGTCTCTAGTCATCTCCTGTACTGTGTCCGCAGTCTCTAGTCATCTCCTGTACTGTGTCCGCAGTCTCTGGTCATCTCCTGTACTATGTCCGCAGTCTCTGGTCATCTCCTGTACTGTGTCCGCAGTCTCTAGTCATCTCCTGTACTGTGTCCGCAGTCTCTAGTCATCTCCTGTACTGTGTCCGCAGTCTCTGGTCATCTCCTGTACTATGTCCGCAGTCTCTGGTCATCTCCTGTACTGTCCGCAGTCTCTGGTCATCTCCTGTACTGTGTCCGCAGTCTCTGGTCATCTCCTGTACTGTGTCTGCAGTCTCTGGTCATTTCCTGTACTGTGTCCGCAGTCTCTAGTCATCTCCTGTACTGTGTCCGCAGTCTCTAGTCATCTCCTGTACTGTGTCCACAGTCTCTGGTCATCTCCTGTACTATGTCTGCAGTCTCTGGTCATCTCCTGTACTATGTCCGCAATCTCTGGTCATCTCCTGTACTATGTCCGCAGTCTCTGGTCATTTCCTGTACTGTGTCTGCAGTCTCTGGTCATCTCCTGTACTGTGTCCGCAGTCTCTGGTCATCTCCTGTACTGTGCCTGCAGTCTCTAGTCATCTCATTTCTGTACTGTGTCCGCAGTCTCTAGTCATCTCCTGTACTGTGTCCGCAGTCTCTGGTCATCCCCTGTACTGTGCCTGCAGTCTCTAGTCATCTCCTGTGCTGTGTCCGCAGTCTCTAGTCATCTCCTGTACTGTGTCCGCAGTCTCTGGTCATCCCCTGTACTGTGTCTGCAGTCTCTTGTCATCTCCTGTACTGTGTCCGCAGTCTCTGGTCATCTCCTGTACTGTGTCCGCAGTCTCTGGTCATCCCCTGTACTGTGTCTGCAGTCTCTTGTCATCTCCTGTACAGTGTCCGCAGTCTCTGGTCATCTCCTGTACTGTGTCCGCAGTCTCTAGTCATCTCCTGTACTGTGTCTGCATTTGTTCATAGTTTTTTTTTTAAAACTATAGTCTGGCCCTCCAACGGTCTGAGGGACAGTGAACTGGCCCCCTGTTTAAAAAGTTTGAGGACCCCTGCTGTAAATCATTGTAGCAGTCTGTGCTACATGCAATGAGAGCCGTGATCTTCTGTGTTCTGTGAGAGTGACTTTCCCTCTGCACATCGGCCACAGAGGGTTGTATATTCAATACCTCTGCCATTCATAGAACACCTTGAATATTTTCAGTGAATACAAGCCATTGGGCGAGGTGGAAATTGTGACATCACCACCCTGCCTCAAACCATCTAAAAAACACTTTTTATTAACTGGAAAAAGTACAAGACTTTCTATAAACGGTGGAGGTGCCTACGAGTTAACAACCCTCTGTGGTCAGTGTGCAGAGGAGAAGCTGCTCGCAGCGATCGTGGAGGATCACAGCTCTTGCTGTACAAGCATCCCCAGTAGCACTTGGATATTAGATATGCATACTTATATCTACGCAAGCTGGCCTAATGTAAGTATGCACAAAATATAATTCCTGGAGCTCAGTTTTAAAGTGTTACTAAACCTACAACAGTAAAATCAGTCTGTATATACAGTAAAGCATGCTTGTTATACTCATTGTAGAACCTAAGGGTTAATCATCTGTATTGTGTAAAAAGGATGTTTAATCCTGACTTCTCTGATCCTACCCTAGGATGTTTAATCCTCTGCATTTTGTAGAAAGGGTGCTTGATCCTGTTTTCTCTGCACCTCATCTTGTTCAAATGTCTACGTTTTATCTCCTGATAAGACAGACTGAACCGTAGCCATTCTGAACATGCTCAGTTTGGTGTTGATTGCTAGAGAGGTTTTCTTTTCTTGGCTGAGTGCATGTCATCAGCACAGGGCCAATCAGCGCTGTCCAGACAGAGGTCAGGGGTTTTGCAACCGCCTACAGCAGGAAGAAAACTCCTCCTACAAGCTTTAACCAGTTCTCTGCTGTACACTGATAGAAGACACAAGACTGCTCTAAACTGCTGATGATAAAAGGTATTTAGCGGTTTATATTTACTAAAATAATTGAATTTCCATGTTGTGTGTTCTGTGAGAGACCAGATATAGTGAATGCAGGGTCCGGGATTTAGTAACACTTTAAATGTAGTCATTTGTAGATTAGCCACAAGGGATGAGCAAACATTTAGTATGCAGTCTTTCAACCTACCTTCTTTACAAACTGTTGTGATAACATATCTGTCTGCCAGGGAGTGCATTGTTTTCAGTGTAGCGGCTGAATTATACACTTTTATTGGGAGACACAACCACTGTGTGGCACTGCAAACCAGGAAGCCGAACTCGATTATGAAATGAGCAAATATGGCTGTCCCCATGTGCATATGTGTTTACAAATCATACATAGAAGCTCGTTTCTGGAATAACACCTACTGATAAAAATGTATACATTTATGGAAAGTTAGTGTTTTGAAAAGGCTATTTTTTACCATTTCTACTTTCAGTTTTGGTTTGATTGGACAACAATAAAGCTATGGATGGTGTGCAGATCTATATTATCCTAAAGTTACCATGCAAAAAAAAAGGCAGGGGAGCGTGCTCACAGTTTATGAAAACAGACACGTGCTCATAGCACAGGAACTGTTGGGGAACAAGATCTTTAAGTGGTCTGATCTTTTACTGAAGTTTGGAGATCATCCTAACACAATGCTATTGATTGTTCCTGGGGAACAAGGGCAGTTTTTGGCTTTATACTTGGCTTACTAACCAGGGGCGAACTGACAACTCATGGGTCCCCCGGGCAATAGGGGATCATGGGGCCCCTGTGTCCTCACCCACACTCAAACCACACCCAAAAAAGCCTATGAAAGGTACTAGGGGCATCTCATGGGGCCCCCTACTGACCCTGGGCAGTGCCCGAGTGCACAAATGGTCAGTCCGCCCCTGTTACTAACCGTTCTGTACAGTAGGGCTAAAAAATAAAGTGACCAGTCTTCTTTAACATACTCATACAGCAGCAGTGCTGGTCTATGTTGAACAGATGCAATGGGGTAGATTTACTAAAACTAGTGCAGCTGTGCATGGTAACCAATCAGCTTCTAACTTCAGCTTGTTCAATTAGGCTTTGACAATAAAACCTGGAAATCGCTTGATTACTATGCAGAATTGCATTCGATTTTACACTTTCCAGTTTTAGTAAATAACCCCGAATGCTGTTCTGTTAAAGGAGATCTATGGCCTTATCTTACGCTTCCATTTGATAACATCAGCATTGTAATAGTAATACAGAATATATTTGATAATCCAATATAAGCTTACTTGAAAATCTCTTTTCACGTTGCTGCCTGTCTTCTGGCCATCTCTTTTCACAACTTCCTGAATTCCCTGCATGCTTTGCAGCTTCTCCTCTGCTGTTTACTTACAATTTCTAAGGACTACATATCCCATGGTACGTTGCTGCCCACAAGCAGTGCTTCCTGTACTGACTCAGCCCCTGAAACACTTCCTCTCAGCACATCTGTATTTCAGAAGGCAGGCTCTGTGAAACATGTGACACAGCAGTGTCTATCAACAGGGCATAGTGAACATGTGTCACAGAATTCAAGGAAGTAAATGTGTGGGGATCTTCACTAAGTAAGTTTACTTAGAAACAAGATCATTTTGAATAATAAGAGTAGAATAGAAATAATTAAAAGACAATTTGGAAATTAATCAATTATTTTAAATTTTTACCATAGATACAGTATGCTTTAACTATCTGATTGCTGCTAGTTTTTATAAAAGAGTGGCTGGAGATGTAAAGATCGATTTCTATAAATTCCATTGAATTATTTTTTTATAGATCAGATAGAAAAAAGCTCAGACTTAAGGTCTCTGAGCATAATGTCATTTACTGTATATTAAAATTCACAGTCAGTCATCAAAGATCACAAATGTCAATAATTGTCTTGAATGTCTAGGTCAGCCTTTCTCAACCTTTTCAACACAAAGGAACCCTTAAAATAACTTTCAGGTTTCAGGGAACCCCTGATAATAATTACTATATTTACAGCTCATTGGACATTAGCATTATGGTTAGAGGGCAGAATTCTCATTTTTTTCTGATCATTGGGGACAATCCCATTACAGATAGCTAAAAAGATCTTTGGTGTCACTGGTAGCTTACCTGAGAGGCAGAAATGGCTTAATGCTCAAGGAACCCCTAGCATCCTCTGGAGGAACCCTAGGGTTCCATGAAATCCTGGTTTAGAAGGGCTGGTCTAGGTTAGTGAGTATAACCAAAGCTAGACTTATCAAACTTTCACACTTACCATCTTTTGGTTTTTCATTTTAGGATCCACCAAGAACAAGAGATTTGGGTATAATAGGTCAGTCTATCCACTTCGAATATTTCAGTATTTTCCAGTCTCTAATATTGTATGTCTCAGTCACTCCATTGGTGACATCTCTGTTAATCTTATTTTTTTTAAAGAATTTTACATTACAGTATAGCTCAACAGTAAGAGTAGGACACCTTCAAAAAGGTTTAGTGAGACTCCTTTCCACATGAGACATTGCTAAGTCAGAGAGAGATCTTAATTTCCCAAGAGATAACAACTATCGGGTGATTCAAAAGTCCAGTGTTCACCCATACCATATATATAAAAATATATTTATTATAACTTGACTATAAACTGTAATTATATGAACTTGGTGACAAAATAAACGTTGTCAAATATAAGACAGGCACCCACCAAATCTGTTGCAAGTGATTTTAAAATAACTTGATTTCCTGTGTGTGAATTAGCATGCTCAGGGGTGACAGTATGGCATATATCTCATTTTTCTTACAGTAAATCTTTTTTTTCTGTCAGCCTTTTCTTGTTCTTTTTCACCAAGTTAAAATCATTTGGTGGTATGTCTACCTACTGTTATTCAGATCCAAGTTACTATATCACCTTAAACTGCGTTGCTATTTTTAACTCTGACTGTAGAGGTGCTGTACAAGTCTTTTTTGCAAGCAAAGGTTTCAACTATCTATTCACTCTGTGCTATAATATAGGTTGTCACTCAAAATTATAGCATACAACTTTGCTTCGTGCTATTTTTACAGAGAATTCTTTTTTAACTTTTCCTATTTTTTATATATATACCTTAGAGGTTATAATTCAATTCAAATAGAACTTCCTAGTATAGAAACTCTCACTAGCATCTTGCAGGCTTTAAAAGTGCTCCTAATGATTGCATCGTAGTTCAGTTCTTTAAGCTGTAAAAAATATCATTGAAGAAACTGGAGCTTCTGTACAGGACTGTCCTAAGGGTAAGACAGCTAAGGTGATCATCATATGCAAGTCTTAATTGGCATTTTGGGAAAAATATGTGCAACATGTTCTCTTCCTCAGTGGTTGTGGGTGCCTCTAAGATCACCTAGGTTTTACATAGCTAAGCCTAACCATATGTAGTGCTACCCCAAAAGGGGCCACTGAATATTAGACAGGTTCTTCACTCAAACAGAGGCAGCTAGGCACACAGCAACAGTGACTCATACTGGCTCCATATATACTGTATATAGTTCAGGGGATATTATTCTAGTTTATTGCTGAAAACTTGTAACTGGGGAGGACAATGGGGTATGGGATACTCCAAAATGTCAAGCACAATTTTACAGCCTATTTTCACTACCAGCTGTTCACCAGGAGAATATTAGGACAAGAAACACCTCTCCACTAGTTGGAAGCAGAGGCATACATAGAACCTTCAGGAGAAGAAACCATGAAGAGCCCCCTCGACCGAGGACCTTCCAACTGATTCCGGGGCCCTTTTTTCCCATCGTGGGGCCCTTTATTATGGTCGTTCTGCAGGACCCTTTTGCATGTTCTGCAGAGGGCCCCCTTCCTGCCATCTTGGGGCCCTCCCGGTCACAAGTTTGACCTTTTTACGACCGTGGTAGTTCTGTCACTGGTGTCAGTAGTTTTTTATTTTTGTTATTTTATTCTTTAATTATTTTTTACCATTTTATTTATTTTTTAGAATTTTATATTTTAATGTTTTTTAGAACTTTTTAAGGAGCCATGTCTGGGGGCTTTGGTGAGATATGAGGGGTCTAAACAGACCTCTGATGTTCCACCTTTGAGAAAGAGAAAGGAGATTGAGGACACAGCCCTCAATCTCCATTTCTGGAGCCTGAGCTGCACAGAATGAATGGACAGAAAT